AAACTGAGGCTCAGAGGGTCCAGTGACTTGTCCAAGATCCCACAGCTAGTAAGGGAAGGCTGTTCACACCAGATCCATTTGATTCCAGATACTGAGCTCAGAGGCACTTTCAAAATACTAGCACATGTTCTGTGTTTCATCTCCACTTTCAGTTGGGAAAAGGAACCTGGATGATCAGCAAAAGACTAGGTACCCCAGAGAGGCGACTGTGAAGGAGGGGGTGGGACTGAGCAGGCCCCAATGGTGCCCTGGAATAGGACCCACAGGTACCCTGGTGTGAGTTGTCCCTCTGTCTCTGGTGTTATACCAATCTCAGCTAATACAAAGAATATGCTCTTTGTTTCTGGGGTGAATGAATGAGAGACAAGTGCCACCGGCCAAGAAGGCAGAGAGGAGAGAGTCAATGTGTCTAGATTGGACAGGCCAAAGTTTGGACTTTCATGGTGCAAGATGTGAGTGTGTGTTTGGAGGGTTCTCAGTTTCAACTTCATCATAAAGCAGGATTTGTATCAAAGGTGGAGACAGAGAGAGGGGAAAAAGAAGGAAAGAATGAAGGATGGGTGGAAGGAATTCAGGCAGTCATGGATTAGTCTTTCATGACTGTGACTCAGATTCACCAAGTCAAGTGGTTTCTCAAGTTTTTACTTTAAAACTAAGTTTTTCTAATGACAAAAATAGTGTGTTAGTTTTTGAAAATTTAGAAAACACACATAAGCATCCATGACACAAACCCACATGTGCATCTATACACACATACTAAGTTTGACAACACAACATCATTTTGCACAGAATGGGCTGTAACTAGTTTTTTTAATTGACAATAAGTCATACATATCTCTCCATGCCATTACGTGTTCTGCTACAGCATCATTTTAGTGGCTCAAGAGTATCCTTTTTATAAATGTATCAAATCTATTAAAATTTTTGGACTTTTAGGTTTTTGCCAATCTTTCAGAATATTATAAATATCACTTTGAATATCCTTGTAGCTAAATTTTTGCATGCATCATTGATTATATCCTTAAAATAAATTGCAGTAAGTGGAATGATTGGATCGAAGGGTATGCACAAATTTTAGTTTTGATATATACTGACAAATTGCTCCCTAGAAATGTCATGCCCATTGCCACCTCTCCAACCCCAGGAGTGTGTGAAAGGGCCCAGCTCACAGTGTTCTTTGCAATATTGGGGAGGCATAGCCGGTAAGAGCATGAGGTTTGGAATCAGATGGCTCTACCACTTGCTAACTGTGTGGCCTTAGGCAAGTTAACTTTCACCACTCTGAGTCTCTATTTTCTCACCTGGGCTGCTGTGAGGCTCACAGGAGATCAGGCATGCAGAGTGTGGAGCAAAGTGCCTGGCCCATAGTAAGTGCTCCACAAACAAAAGCTGTTCTAGCTTTACAATCGTTCCCGCCCACCTCTGATGTATTATTCCCTGGGAATGGACACACACTGAGCGAAGGCTCCTGAAATCTCTCATAGCCAATATCTACTCCATCCGCCACATCAGCCCTGAAGTGCTGCTGCCGCGGGCTTCCTGCCTCAGTCCTTTCTTCCCCTCCCTTCTCTGGCACAAGGTGACTGACGGTGGGGAGGATCCTCAGGCCTCGTACATTACCATTTTGCTTTTTCCTAGGTTGATTACAAGAAGGTTGCAAATCAGGAAAGAAACCTGTGAATGTCAGCCCAAACTGGGTTTATAAACCAAAATAATGGTCAATACTAATAACAACAGCAACAGCTATCACTTATTGAGCACCTATTATGTCCCAGGCACTGTGCTAAGCCCTTTACATGGATTGTCCCATTCAGTCTCACAACAGTCCTCAGAGGCTCCGAGGTGAGAGGGAGTGTCCCACAGCTGGGAAGTGGCAGAGCTGGGGTTGGATTCCAAGCCTGTTTGACTTCAAAGTCTGTGCTCTTAGCTGCTTTGCATGTTGCTCTCTTTAATATAGAAAGATTTAGTGGGGGAGGAGGGTGTGTGTGTGTTTATGTTTGAGTGTGCATGTGTTTGAGAGTGTGTACATGTTTGTGAGTGTATGTGTGTTTGTGTACAAGCATGTGTGTGCATATGTGAGTGCATGCATGTGTGTGTGCATTCATTAGAATAATATTCAGTCAGGGCCTACAACGTACTGGGCACTGTGCAAGTTCCTGAGGATATGATGGTGAACAAAGACACGATCTCAGTCCTCTCAAAGCTTCCTGGCTAGTGGGGAAGACCCATGATAGTGAGTGAGTGAATGAACGAATGAAGAAACAACAGATTAGGGTTACTGCTATGAAGGAAATAAACTGGGCATAGTCCCAGAAAGCAGCAGGATAACAAACTTTAGATTGGAGCTTCAGGGAGAGCCTTTCTGAGGGGGTGACATTTAAGTTTGTGTGTCCAGAAACTAGTCTGGAATAGGGAGTCAGGGCCACCATGCAAGGATAGAGTGGAGGGAGGGTCCTCTGGGGTGGAAGCAAACTCTTCAGTGCCTGGAGATGCTTTCTACATGGTTCTGGGGCTCTCAGAGGTGTATATGGGTGGGCATGGGTGGTATCTCTGGGTATGCTTAGGAGGCAGGGGAATGGCCTTGCCAGTTTTACCCTAAAGGGGCAGAGTGGGAAATGAGGACCTGTTCTCTGAACAGGACCTGGTCTTAGGACCAGGGGCTTCAGGAATTCTAGAGGCATGGAAGGGACTAACAGGCAGGGTCCAGGCACTTAGAGTTGGAGTGTATGGAATGGAAGCCTTTTGTATTTGTACTAGAAAAATCCAGCCTGCCCCAAGTGTCCCAGAATCAAAGCGTTCGTGCTCTCCATTCATTAATATAGTTGGGGTTTGAGAAGGCAGCACAGTCTTCCCTGGGGCTCCCTCTCTCATCTCCAGAGGTAACTAAGAGGGGGAACTTGGGTAAGAAAGTGTCACCAGGGCCACTTCTAGCAGTAACAGCAGCAATTTTGAGCCAATCCAGGCTGTGGTTTAGGATATCGTCACCGGTTCACAGAGTAGATGGGCATGGTTGCTGGAGCAGTTGGCCCAAGAAGCCTGGGAAAGCATGGCCCACCAAAATTTAGGGTCTCCATTCCACGTGACACCAACACCCAAGCCTGCTCTGGCAAGGTGGCTTTCCCCAGGCCACCCAAGTCCCACTACTGGGTTGCTGTGAATTCGGGATGGGGACACTCTGTGCCTCCCCATGTGCTCCCATCCAAACCACTCTGGTGCACTCAGTGACCAAATAGGACCTTGGACAGTAGCACACCACCCACTCCCCTTAACATTTCAGAGTCAGAGTCAGAGAATTCTGGAAGGGAAGCAGTTAAAAGAAATATTCAAAACACTCTGGGGCCTTGCTTTCCACATTTCAAGCATTCAGAGCCTAGGTCATATGTATGAGATCTGTAAGGCCAGTTCAGATGGAAACTGCCCAGTTGTCAGAGGCTACACATTGTTTCTAATTGTGCTTAGGACATGCAGTACCCTCATTCAATATGAAGCATGGAGTGTGATTAGACTAAGTCAGCTTAACCACTCTATTTGTGCTACACAGTGCCCTGAATTGCTACTGGCTTGCAGATATCAGTTTTCAGAAGTAGCATTCATCCCCAGGAACAAATCTTAATATATGTTTCTTTGCCCTTGGTTTCATTAAAAGAGGCCAACCATTGCCCATCACTCATTGGGAATGATGTCAAGTGATGGGCAGAATGTCTGTGCCACGTAGGTCAGGGCTTATTTTTGCTCTTATCATCTGTACTATATGGAAAGCTATGGTGATGGGTGGGGGCACCCAGTATCACTGTGCAGACCTCTCAGGTGTTTTTATCTTGTACAAAGTCCAGGCAAATGAAACATTCAGGAGAGCTGAGAGAGGCGCATGTGGAGGGGAAGGGGACTAGACTCTCCAGCCCTCCAGTCTTCCTTTGTCTCCACGCCCACACCCCCCTTCATTGTCTTGGATAGACGAGAGGCTCCAGGCTTTAAGCACCATCTGCCAGAGCTCTCTTCCTCCTCCCTTCTTGCCTGAGTGGGAGTGGAGAATGGTGAAAATATCCACCCATGTCATGAGCTGTCCTAGACTTTTTGAGAACTCAGATTCAGCCGCTATTAAAGGTACAATTAGAATAGTGTCTATGAGACCAAATGAGACTCCATCCCCATTAGCCAGTCCACAAGAACTTTGCAAGAAGAAACTGAGTCACTGCTTGACCTTGAGCATTTTGCTTTTGTAGGAAGAGGTCCAAGCAATGCTTCCCTACCCATCACTTATCACTCCAGCTCAGATCTCTATTTGGCTAATCTGCTTGGCTAACTTGGTCCAGTCTCCTATCATCCCTATGCCCCAAGTTCCTCTTGAAAATGGGGTTTCAACCGCTAGACTTGAGTGAGTGACTGACACAGGCAAAGGTTAAACCCTTTATAAAGTTCTGTGGAGTCCTCCTATTCAGTGTATTCAAAACACCAGCTATAAAATAAAGCCAAACAACAGCAATAACCAAACACAAATCACTTTTATCAAGCAATTCTACTTCTAGAAGCTTCTATGAGGGGCTAGTTGGACAAGGGTGCACAGATTTATACTATACAAAGATGCTCATCGCAATGTTGTTAAATAATTGAAAAAAATGGAAATAACTGAGCTGCCCACAAATACCATGTTTGTTAGTCATGTTACTGCCTTACGATGAAATATTGTAGAACCATTTAAAAAGCTGGTATTGGGTCTATTCATTGCTATGGGAGGATGTTTGTGATATTTTAATGATGTAAAAACAGCCTTAAAAAGAACTTGTGATGTGAAAACAATGCATACATGAATAGAAAGAAATCCTAGAACGATGTACACCTAAAGGTGGACTATGGTGGTCTCTGGATGTTATGATTAGAATAATTTTTTTTACCTTTTCTTCACATTAAAAAATATAGTCTGTATTAACCAGAAAAAATAAGCTGCTTCCATTTTGAAAACAATACACACCTAACATGTCTTCTAAATCTTTCCTTCCCAGATAGTGACATGCCTCCAAATCAGTGGCGTTTCTCTTCTCAGTGGACAAAGCCACAGCCAGAAGTATCTTTTGCAAATGGTGCTGCCAACTGCAGCTTGAATGAGTCTGGTCCCATGGCTATGGATCAGTACCCACCGTCCCTGACTGCGAGCCCCTCCAGTCAGCCTGGCGAGATGTGGCATTTCTCCTCCCTAGCCAGCCCCAGCTCCCCAGACCCTGGCTACTCTCATGCCTTCTCTGCTGGGCAGCTGGTTCCAGATCCCCAGCCTGAGGGGAAATATGAGCCCCTCCTAAGTCTCCTCCAGCAAGACAGATGCTTAGCGCATCCTCAAGAATCTGCCATGTGGGAGGATTGCAACTCTGCCCAGATAGCCGGAAGCACAGGATCGCTCTTCAACCTGCCTCCCAGCTCAGCCCACTGTAAGGAAATGCCTTTAGATACTTGGAAGATTGCCTCTGATTGGTTGTGGTGGAGAGTGAGTTGGCATGAGATGGGGTGCCAAGACTAATTGCTGTCACTCCAGACATGGGAATTCTGAGGGACGGAATGTTCTGCTTAAATGTTCCATATGTCTTGACTAGGCTTCATTGACATTCCCAGTTTAATGACCAGAGGGTTACATAGATAGCCAGCCAGATGGACTTGGCCTGTAATATTCATCTCAGTCTGTTGATTTGGACTTTCCTAGAAAAATGATGGGCTACTGCCTAAAATCATTGGGTCCTGCATTCATCTCAGTATAGGCCACCAAATAATCCATTTGTAAAACAGAACTCTGTGACATACCTACAGGCTCAAACTCTATCCTCCAAACAGGTTGGCAACTTGCGCTGATGCCTGCCAGGCTCCTAGGCAAAAACAAGGGCAATCTATACCAACCATCTGCTCCATGCATTAAAATTCAAAGCGATTGTAGAGGCAGCTCCGTTGCTCCTGGAGACCATCATAGTGCCTGGCTGTCTGTGGCTCTTGCCTGCGCACTGGGCTCCTCTTGCTCCCCGGCCACCCCTCCTCCTGAACTAAAACACCCTTAAGGCTCATTCACTTCTTCATTCACTCACTCACTCAACAAATATTTAATTAGTGCCTACTAGATGCAATATATCCGTCAAAAAACAAGACTCCCTTTTTCTAAAAGGATGGGAAAGAATTGGCCTAAAGTCTGCCTTCTCCAAAAGAGCAACCCACTCTGCTACAAGATTTGCCTTTCATATGAAATATTGGTAATAATATATATATTTTATAGATTCGTGGGGCCAAGTCTTCATCCTCTGGCATTCTGTACTCTGGATGAATTTTCTTTTACAGCTCCCTAGTCCATACATATCTGTGGTTCTAGTGTTCCATGCCTGAAAGAAATTACTAGAAGCTGCCTTTACTCTGAACTAAGTATATTATACACAAAGGGCCTGTTCAGCATAGCCTACCTAAGTCAGGCACTGTGTTCCATCCTAATGTTGAAAACAAATTTCCCATTAAAATACCACTCTGCCATTTCCAGAGTTTGATTAGGAATGTACTTAAAAAGGGTAAATCATAAAAATGTCATGCTTGGGAAACCTATGAAAATTCCCACCCTGTACTCTTTTGCAAAAATCTGCTCCTACTGGATTCAGAGAGAAAATTAGGCCAACTGTGTTTGTATATATGCCTGTGCATACACACAGCAGAGCCCTGTTTCAACAGTTGGTTCAAACACCGATGGTTCAAATTGTCGCCTCCCAAACATAACAACTCTATATAGTTCAAATCCAATTCAGCAAATATTTAGTGAGCATCTACTATCTGCCAGGCACATCATGGCAAAACTATACTGTAGGCATTATCCCATTCCCACAACCTCTAGACACATTCAAATGTTTATCACTAAAGTCTCGACTGCTGAGAACCCTTCACACTCTCCTACTAATGTTGACATCAGTTGTAGTAATTAACAACTGGCGGTCCAGGATCTGTTGAGGAAGTCAGTGACTGTTAATAAGGAACGCTGCCTGTAAGATGGGAACAGGGCCCAAGGGACCTTAAAAACAGAAGCTTCTCTGTTTTTGTAGCATCTGATAAGAGAAAATATGGCAGGTGTCCATAAACTGAGGGACAGACGATTTGGGGTCCCTGGGGTACTACTGGACACTTTCTAATCCAGTCCCAGAGATTTCATTTCTAATCATGTTTTCTTCTTTTCTAGATAAGAAAATATATTTCCCCCCCGATCGCGGTCCTGCCAGTGCTGGTGTTGCATATGAAAGTAAGTATCTGGTTCTGCCTTTGATAGTGTCTCTGTATCCTGAGAACAAACTTGAGGAGAAGCTTGTAGCATAAAATCTAGGATCTCCAGCAACTGAAAAGACCTCCATTTCTACTATTAGTATTTTCATGGTTATCATGTTTCATCTTAGTCTCAAGAGCCCATGCCCTTGGTATCTTGTAAAATGTTCTTATTTTGCTGAAGAAGCAGCCCAATTGAGTTCATTAACTGAGCTGGATTTAACCGAGGTAACCGAGGTGACTGAGAAAAATGAACAAATTCATGAGGATTAGCTTGCTGTGTCCCAGGCGTTCAGTCTTCAGCCTAGAACATAGGGCCACCCCAGGACTCTGCAGTCAGGGAAAATGCCACCTGAGGCCGAAGGCCAGGACTCTGAGCTCCACACTCAATTTGAAGGTGGTGTCAGTAGGAACTTTGAAATGAGGACAATCGGGGTGGAACGACATGAGGGTGTTCATGGCCTGGGTTCGAACCCAGCTTCATTCCTTACTGGCTTCAGGAACTTAGTCACATTTCTTAATGTCTCCATACCTCAGTTGCCTCATTTGTAAAATGAGGATTAAAGTAGTGCCCACCTCATAGAGTTTCTGTGAGGATTAAATGAAATAATGTATGTAAATGCTTAGAATTTACATTCTGATGTAAATTAGCCGCAGTAAGCCACCAAACACACACAGTAAGCCTGGCACACAGTAAGCCGTCAACAAGTGCCTTTTTGGAGGGCATCCTGTATGCCTCATGCTGTGCTCCGTGCTGTGTGTCTGAGAGGAACAAAAGGAAGAGCTGCCACCACAGCCCTGATCTCAGGCACTTTAAAGTCTAGTGTGGAGTGGGGGTGAGGGCAATACATAGGCCTCACCAGTATGTCAGCTCCTTGAGGGCTGAGACTTTGAGGGGTGTACCGCCACATCCCCAATGCCTGCGGGGGTGCTTGGCACAGAGGTCAACACATATTTGTTGAATGAATGAATGAGTGAATGCTGGAAACAATAAAAAAATATTGAAAAAGGAAATAGTAAAAATATATCCGCCAATATAGTGCAAATTATTTTGCTTGAAGCCCTTGTGTAAGACAAACAAACAAGCCACAAACCACCCTCAGTGGTTAATTGGCCATGCCCAAGTGAGGAGATAAATTTAGGGCTGGTTCAAGAGCCTTAGCATGGCTGAGTCGAGATTTACGGAAGTCTCTGCCCAACGGAATGAGCTCGGCTGGCCTTCTAATTAATGAAAGTCAGGATTATGAAGTCTCCTAAGTACTTGGTAATAGTTTATACATTTTTTAATTGTAAGCCTTAGGGCCAGCCCCATGGCTTAGCGGTTAAGTGCGTGTGCTCCGCTACTGGAGGCCCGGGTTCGGATCCTGGGCGCGCACCGACGCACCGCTTCTCTGGCTATGCTGAGGCCGCGTCCCACATACAGCAACTAGAACGATGTGCAACTATGACATACAACTATCTACTCGGGCTTTGGGGAAAAAAAAAGGAGGAGGATTGGCAATAGATGTTAGCTCAGAGCTGGTCTTCCTCAGCAAAAAGAGGAGGATTAGCATGGATGTTAGCTCAGGGCTGATCTTCCTCAAAAAAAAATAATAATAATAATTGTAAGCCTTACAATTACTGAAAACTTGATGCTTTAAATTGTCCATAGGCCAAAAATAACAGCAACAACGTGTATGGGTGGTGACTATGAGCCAGATACCAAACACACCATCCTGCTCAGTCCCACAGTGACCTTGTGAGAGTGTGTATGAGTGTGTCCTAGGTGCCTTACACAGTAGGTATTCAATAAATAGGGATTGAATGAATAAATGCATATCCCCATTTTATAGATGAGGAGACTGAGTCTCAAACATGTGAAAGAACTTGCCTTAAGATCACACAGCAGCGTCAGAGGTATTATCTCTTTGCTCTCATAGTGTCATAAAATCATCAAAATCATAAATTACAATAAACATAAATTGTCAAAAACAATGCCAACTTAAATCAAGAATACAACAGTGAAAATTAGCAATTGGTAAGATTGTTTCACTATATATGGGTTCACTGTCTATCTGTGGCCAGGACACTATCCTAGAATAAGGGGAGGAGGTGGTGGAAGGCTTGGGAAGCACGCAAAGGAGCAATATTACCTCGGGAAAGGACAAGGGGATGACCTTTCCAATGCAGAGGGTAGTTGAGGGAGGGGGGTAACGGGTACCCAGCTATGCCAACAGTCCCAAGTTGGCTATCCTGCCACTGTGCTTCCAGGCAGAGGGAGGCAGCAGGGCATGGGGACTGGGAAAGGGGTAACTTCCTAGGGCTCCAAATAAAAGGACCAGGAAACTCAGCAAAGCCCATGCTCTTAAGCACGCTGCCAGTCTCCCAGTCTTGCCTGATGGTGAGAACCACAGGGGGAACTTGTGAAATGCACAGATTCTGCACCCTCACTTCCTGGGTCGATAGATTTGGCATGGGACTTAGTTGCCTATTTATATGTTTGATTCTTTATATATTTTATATTAACCTGATTTCAAAGTGAACTGGATGAAATTTTCAGTAGGAATTTTGGTAGTTCTGAAAGATTTATGTGAGGCCCCAGATAAATATTTGTCAAAGGAAGGAAGAAAGGCAGAATCTCCTGCCCCTCCAATACAGCCTAGTCCCCTAATGTGTGCTGTCATGCACTCATGAGGCAGAGACCAAGTGGAGCAGAGTAGCAATCAGTCAGAAGGGTAGACAGAGAGACCTTTGTGGAGGTGAGTCCCAAAAACTTTGGTGCCAAATTGTTAGTGAATTTGATTTTTTTGGTCTGTAGAAATAGACATTGGTTGTGCATTGTTTCAATGTCTACAGATAATAACATTGATATTGCTATTTACCAGACATAGTGCTATAATATATATATTATATATAATATAATAATAATATAACATAAATATTATATAACAAAATAATATATATTTTATTATATATAATTTATATAACATAAATATTATATAATATGTATTATATTTATATTATATATTATAAATATGTTTGCAATTATTATATTATATATAATATAATATAATAAATATAATATAGTATATAATATAATATAAATAAATATAACAAATAGTATGTAATAACATAATATGTTCTGATAAGTGCTATGAAGGAACCATACACAGTGTTGAAATAGGGAAAGACGGGGGCCAACTTTGGATCAGGTGGTCCAAAGAGGCTTCTCTGAGGGAGTGATGTGTGAGCAGGGACCCGAAGGAAGTGAGGGAGCCAGTTTTAGGAAGAGTTGGGGTGGAGATGGAGGAAGGTGGAGGAAGCTGCCCCTGCAATGGCCCAGAAGTGTGTGAGGAATAGGAAAAAGATCAGAGTGGCCAGAATGTAGTGAGAATGGGATAGTGTGGCACACGACCGGTCTGGAGAGGTAGACAGGGGCCAAGTGACATAGGGTCTTATTGGTCATGTTGGGAGTTTGGATTTTATATTCTAAGTGACTTATTGAGCCCTGGAAGGATTTTAAGTGTGATTCAATTTGCATTTAATAAAGTCACATAAGCTATTGTGGACAGGATAAATTGGAGAAAGGTAAGAATGAAGACAAAGAGACCAGTTAGGAGGCAAGAAACATGAGAAGATAATAGCCTGGATTAGGTGGCAGTGGTGGAGAGAGATAGAAATAGATATATTTGAGATCTATTTGGGGGGTTTAGTCTTAGGATTTGCTAATGGCTTGGATGGGAGTGGTGAGGAAAATGGAAGAATCCAGGTTAGCTCTTAGGTTTTCTGTTTGAGCAATTGGGTGGATAGTGGTACATGTATCAAAATGAGGAAGACTGAAGGAGAACACAACTCGGTTTTGGCCATGTTAAGTCTGAGGTGCTTATATGACATCCAAGTGGATATAGCTCTTAAACAGTTGTATATGTAAGTATGGAGTTCAGAAGGGAAGTCTGGGTAAAGTTTTGAGATTGATCAGTATGAAAATGACATTTAAAGCTATTGAATGATCGCCTAGGCAGAGGGTATAGATAAGAGAGAGAGAAGGGCAGAGGACAGAGTCCTGGAGTGTGCCAATATTTAGAGGTTGGGGACGTGAGGAACCAGCAGAGGATACTGAGGAGCAGTCAGAGTGGTGGGAGGAGATCCAGGAGAGTGTGTTGTTACAGAAACTAAAAGGAGAATGTTTCAAAACAGAGGGAGTGATCAACTGTGCCAAAGGCTTCCAAGAGATCAAATAAGAGGACAGAAAAGTTTCTATTGAATGAGGTATCAGAGATTTTGATAACACTGCTAAGAGCAGTTTTCGTTATGTGATGTGGACAGAAGCTAGATTGGACTGGGTTGGAGAGTGAATAGGAGATGAGAAAGTGGAGACAGTAAGAACCAGCAGCTCCTTAGAGACTAGTTTAGCATTGAGGGGGGTGAATAGTAATGAGGTAGTAGCTAAAGAGACTACAGGGGTTGAAAAGATCTTTTCTTTAAAAAGAATGCAAATATTAGAGCCTATTTGTGTGGTAACGGGAATGATCCAACAAAGATGAAGAGATCGATGATGTAGGAGGAAGAGGATAATTTCATGAGCGAAGTCATTGAGAAGATAGAAGGGACATGTGCAAGCATTGACAATTGCTAGGAGAAGGGGCCATTCTACCATGAAAATGTACAAAAGAAGGACAGTGAGGACACAGATGCCAATAGATTTGCCGGCTTGTTTGTGGGGGTCTAAAGAGTACTAATCAACCAATTTCTATTTTCTCAGTCAACTATGGGGCAAAATCATCAGCTGAGAGTGAGAATGCGGGAAGTTGAAGAAAGTGGGAGAGTATGAAAAAGTCTTCTCTGGCATTGGGAAAGCAAGCCTGCTCGTAGACAAACATAAGCAGGATTTCTGTGTGCTGATCTGAAGTCTGAACTCATGAGTTTCAAGTGGAAACGGTCAGCGGGGTTGTGTGATTTTCACCAGTGCTGTTATGTTAGTGTAATGCACAGAGAAGGCAAACAGTGAGGCTCATCCAGGGTTGAGGTTTTGGTAAGTGAGCATGATGGATGGATAAAGAGGAAAAGAATTTGAG